TTTCGATTTTTTTTTTTTTTTTGGTGGTTACGAGGTTGGTTGATTTGACCAATCCTGATTTGAGATAGAGTAGAGAAAGCAACAGATAAACTATAGTTTTACTGAAAAAAAAAATTGGTTTGCACACGGACTATTCAAAACAAATACTCAATATATTAATGGACAAATCTTTATTTTATGTTATTAAAAATACTTCACTAAAAATAAGATTTTTTGTATGTGAAAGACTTATAATGTTAACTGAAAGACTGCCAAATTTTGTGAAGATATACAAACAATCTTGAAAGTTAGAAGTATTAAATCTATAAATACTTTAATCAAGTACAAAAAGGTTATATGGTAGGTTATGTTGACCGAGCCCGTATTGAGAGTGTTAATGTTACTTTGTAAATGATCCTAGAAATATTTTCAGAATCGTATATTCAGAATTACTTTAAGGTGAAAAAAAAAAAGGTTTGTTAATAGCAACTGTACAAAAGTGATGTGGTGAAATGGTCGTTTTATTTATCTGTTGACAATAAAACTAAATCACCTGCACGTTACAGTACTTTTATGGAAGTCAATGTGACATTGACAGTATATCTGGTTTTTGTTGTTCTTTGATTTGTATTTTATCTTCATTTTAAGGTCTTTAGTTTGGTTGCAGAACAGGCTGCAAATATTGGGTATGGCCTGTAAGTTAGGGCACTTGACTCGCAATCTGTGGATTGCAGGATTAAATCTTTTCACCAAACATCCTCACCCTTTAAGCCTTGGGGGCATTATAATGTGATGGCCAATCTCACAATTTGTTGGTAAAAAGTAGCCAAAGAGTTGTTGACTAGCTGCTTTCACTCTAGTCTATCACTTCAAATTAGGGATGGCCTTGCACAGATAGCCATCGAGTAGTTTTGCTCAAAAATTCATGAAACAAACAAACAATAGGCTTTCTACTTATTGCTAATTGTTTTGGACCTTAAAAAGTAATTTTGATGTACTTCCTGTCCAACCACCACAAAACATTCATTTTTTTCCCTCATATTTTTTATGTAAGATTCTTAATAATAAAGTACATCCTGTATTCAACGTACCAATTGGAAGACTGTATTTTATTCTGTATCAGAAGTTCAGATGATCGATGGATTTTAGTCTTCATTTAAGTAAAAAAAAGACTAGAAGCTAACTGTTTTAAACTTGTATGGTGATTGAACTAACATTAATACGAGTTATTTATTATCAAAAAGTTTTTGAAACTTCTTTAAATCAGTTTCTGCAGCATTTGCCTCTGGATGTTACTGGTTAGTAAGTAGTATTTAATTTTTATATTTTACAATAGTTTTTTTGCTATTTAGTCATTGTGAGATTCTAACATTAATAACTTCCAAGTGTTAAACATTCAACTTTGATAATAAAAAGAAAACATGTTGATTAACAGTTGACATCCGTTGGTATTATAAGACTATATTTAAAACACTTCAAGTTATTGTTGTACAGATTTTATCTGTGATGTTACTTGGTATTGTTTTACTGAAAGTGTTTGACATATGTGATGTCTCAATTATTCACCATAACTACTTGTGAACTAATTATTGGTTTGAGATGCTTGGTCTTATTATTTTGTTTTTCCTTTGTCCGAGACTAATGGTGGGTTTAATTTCCTAGACGCTTGGTGATATCAGTAAATTTACACACAGACTGAGCCCCAGCAAGTGCTGTGCTTGATGTCATATTTATAGTTGACTACCAGATTATTATCTTTATTGCAACAGGATTTCTTGAATAATACAAAAGAATTCTAATCATGAAAACTGAAATCTAAAAGTCCACTAGTCTTAGGCCTAACATTAGTTAAGCCTTTATTAAGTACTACGTCCTATATTCAATAGAGAGATAAATTAACATTTTACCTTGTTTACGTTTTGTGTTTTAGTTTATTTAGGGTTAAACTTTATCGTACTTAATACTGTTAATAAACAACTTGTAATGTTATTCTACAATTTAGTGTTAGGCCTTTTTAAAAACTTTGATAAGCTTTTAATAGGTTGTTGTACAAAATGTCTGCTAAAGTATATTTACATACACCTTTTGTTTACATTTGTTGAAGTGCACATGCATGAGATTTTCAGGAGAGACAAAATCCGAGTATTATTATGATAGATTATATTTGGTTTGTCAGTTCAACCGTCACTACAATAAAGATGATACTTATTTCATTAGATACTAGAGTGTCTAAAAAACAATCAACGGCATCTCACTTCATCATGTCATAAAGCTCTCTTCAAACTGGAAAAGGAAGAAATGGTGGACAATGCTATTGACTATACACTGATGACGGTTTGTAAAACTATGATCAAGAAATTTTGCCCAGATGAACATGATTCTCAAGTAAGAATTATGATTTTTCTCAGCTGCATTAATTGTAAATATATGTATATTTATATACTTTTTTTTAATCTGTATTTAGATTACCAGTTTGTATTTTCCTTTGTTTTACAATAAACATTAACCTATGATTTACAAACATGTAAATTATTTTTTATGTTTATAAGTTTTTGCCCCCTTTTTTTTTCTCTGTAATATTTGTGTAAAAAAAAAATTGTTAAATTTGCTAATTGTATATGAATACATAAGCAGTTCGTTATTTTCACTTTGTCATGAACTAGTTTTAATAAATGCACATTTCTTTTAAGTTGAATAACAAACTTAATTAAATTAGTTGTGTGAGTGAATTCAGTTTACTAATTAGTGCACCGATAAAAATATCGGCACAATTTTGTAGTAGCAAGAACATGTATTGTAACATGTATTGATATTTTGTGTTTTAGAAATGTAACAATGTTAAATAACATTAGATACTCTACCCGTTAATAGTTTGTATCTAGTATCGTAAGTACTTGTAAAAAAAACGAACCTGTTTCACTTCTTTATTATTGTATTTTTTAAATGTTTCATCTTACTGCTTTGTGAGAAGGCTGGTTGAAAGTGAAGTGTTACCTTTTTCAATAGGTTCTTTACTGTTTGAGAGACAATAGAAATACATTTGGAATGGACCCACGATGTCGATCTGTGGTGATGAAAAGACTTTTGACGCAGAATACAGACTACAGACTTAACGTTCGTCTGAAAGAATCTTGTAGTCGAGACATTCCTAAATTTTGTTCTTCTGTGATTGCCAAGGAGAAACAAGATGAAGAATTTGAGGGAAAAGTAAGATTAAAAACTTAATACATCTTATAATTCAAGATATGATTGTTTGAAATGTTGAACCATGTTTTTGTCATAAAATTCTTTTAGGGGGTTGTTTAATCCTCAACTTTTTTTTAATACCCTTCCCTGCAAGTGGGGTCCATATATTGCATCATACTGAATAATTTTG